GCTGGAGCTCACTGTTTTTTTACATTTTGAGGAAGTTGGCTACCGAGGTAGAAGAAGACTCTTGTTTCCAAAGTCTGTCCTTCAGTAGTGATTTGTAGTGGGTCATGTGCATGGCCTGAAGCAGGCTGATGGAAAACATCAGTCCTCTCAATATTGAATGAGAGTCCTAGGCTTCAGTAAGCTTGTGCAAAAATATCCAGTTTGGACTGAAGGTCATTCTCAGTGTATGCGAGGGTGGCACAGTCATCAGCATACTGAAGGTCAGTAATGGACGCCCTGAGGGCTTTAGACTTCAAGCAGAGACGTCAAAGATTTAAAAACCCGCCCATCCATTCTGTATTGAATGTCAGCTCCATTGGGAAGGAGGTCTTTAACGAGGACCAAAATGACTGCTAAATCGATGGAGAACAGGGTTGGGGCAATAATGCATCCTTGCTTAATCTCAGTTTTGATGATGAAAGGGTCTGTCTCCAGGCCATTACAGAGAACGGTGGCAGTCATCTGATCATGAAGAAGCCTTAGGACCTTAATACATTTTGGAGGTCAGCCAAATCTGGCCAGCACCGTCCACAAGGCTTCGAAATTGACTGAGTCGAAGGCCTTTGTCAAATCGATGAAGGCCATGTATGGGTCCTGATTTTTACTCCCGAGACTTTTTCCTGGATTTAGTGGGAAACAAAGATCATGTCCGTTGTCCCGTGGGATGGTCTAAAACTGCAGAGATTCTGGCAATATTTCCTCAGCAAAGCAAAGTCATCGGTTTAAGAGGATACAGGCGAGAATTTTCCCTGCTGCAGATAGCAAGGCAAGTCGGAATGTGGAAATTGACTCATTATCATCTTTCTTAAAGATTACGAGTGTTGGCATTTCTCAAGTCTTCTGGAATCTTCTCATTATACCAGATATGAAGAAAAAGTTTCTGGAGCTTCCTCACCAGTTCTTCACCTCCAAACTTGTAGACTTCAGGTGTTATGCCATTTGGTGGTGCTGCTGCCTTGTTTTTCTTGGTTTGTATAATGGCTTGTGTTACTTTTTCGAGGGCAGCGGGGTCAACAAGAGATTCTTTCATGTTGTTGAGGTATAGATTCAATAGTGGCATCAGAGACAGTTGATTCACAGCTCAGGAATGACTCAAAATGCTCCTTCCACCTGGCTTTGATGGCTTCGCTGTCCTTAAAATACATCAACCCATCTTTGACTCAGAGTGGTGTGGGACCATGGGAGCCGGGACCATAAATGGCCTTTATTGCCTGAAAAAAGAGCCTCCTGTCATGGGGTTTTTTTTTTTTTTTTATCAGCTCAAGCTCCTTGGTCTTTTCCTACTACCACTTGTTTTTGATGCTGCAGCTTTTCCATTCGGCTTTAGCCTTCGTTGCTTGTATGACTTTCGTCTGCCTGTGTAATATGTCTTTTTGCTATAAGAGATGAGTTTTTTTTTCTTTTCCCGTCGAGCAAGCCCTGAATCTCAGCATCATTCTCATCAATGGTGATCGCAGGTGACATAGCTGATGGTCTCAGCACATGCTGAGAGAATGGCAGCCTTTAATCCCTTCCAGAAATTTTCATTATAGTCATCCACTGTAGAAATAGTGGCAAACCTCTCTTTGGAGACACTGCTAAAGTTTGTCCTGACTCACTATGTCTTGAAGGGATTTGACATTGAATTTCTTTCATACTGATTTTTGCCTGCTTATGATGCCTTGAAGCGATCTGGAAGTTCATGATAGATCTAACAAGGCCGTGGTCTGTCCAACAGTCATTGGTTCCATGCATCTCCCTCGTGATGCGGACACCCTTCCGATCTCAAGCTCTGACAATAACATAGTCAATGCCTGGACCGAGGGTGTGTCCAGGTGTCTTATACTTCTCACTTTTTGTCTAAAGATGGTGTTTGTGATGACCAGGTGATGTTCTATGCATTTGCTTCAAGGAGGATGCTGTTGGATTGGCCTTTCCTACACTTCCTTTTCTGATAGTGCCATTCCAGAGATCTGACTCATACCCGACTCTAGCGTTTAAAATCTTCGAGGAGAATGATCTTCTCCTTGGGAATGTTGGTCAAGATCTGTATAGAATTGTTCCTTGATATACTTGTCAGCATTGAGTGTTGGAGCTTACGCGCTGATGACCGCAGCAGACTGGTTGTTGCTGAGCTTAAGATGAAGAGTCATAAGAGGTTCATTGAGTCCTACAGGAAGTTCTGTAAGCTGACTGACAAACTTATTCTTAATTGCAGAACTGACACCATGAGTGCCCCTGTCTCTGCAGATTTCTCTTTCCTGAAAAAGGTGTAGCCTTCATCTCCTTTTCTCAGTTGACCTTCATCCGTGCACCTTGTCTTACTCAGAGTAGTGACGTCAGTGTTGTATCTCACACGTTCCCTGGCGACAATAGCAGTTCTGCTTCTTTCCGGTCATACATTATCTTTATCTATCAGGGTGCGAACATTACATGTAGTGAAAGTCACTGTCTTTTATAGTTCTGACCGCAGGCAGAGTGATTCCATTGGATGTGGTAATCCAGCCAGGAGTGGGTGAGACAGCCTAGGTTTAGGGCACCCTTTGTAGTCCTCTCCCCATGTGGGTTTAGCAGAGGGGATCCTAAAGAGGACTGCTCGGTAGCAATAGCCACTGCCAAATTACACGAGTCTCAGTCCAGGTGCCAGACGACCATCCAGCTATCACCACCTACATATAAATTAATGATGAGGGACTGCCCAATTCACTAATGCTGTCCCCACCACCACTAGTCTGTCACCGCAGGGCTTGGAAGGTTGGAAAGATGTTTTTCCTGTGTTAGAAGCTTGCATGTAACTTCTTTTAATGTGGGGAAGCTGGTGCACCTACAGCGACCACACAATCATGACAAGCTGGAGGTCTGGGGCATAGTGGCAGGGAAAGTCCGAGTTGATTAGAGATCTCCAACTTCAGTCTTCATCTACTTTCACAACCATTGAGATCCGAAGACCTTCTTCCATCTGATCCACTGTTGAGGACTTGGTGGATTAGAGAGTGCTTTGTCTGGGACCTCACTTCAGACCTGCTCCCCTTCGGAGACCCTACCAGGAACATGAAGCCCCCGACCAACATAGCTCTGAGGATTATTGGAACACTCAAGCCCCTTCACCACAACAAGGTGGCGGTCCCTGAACAAGCAACATTGCACACCCTGAATGTCAGATGAGCATTAGCTTGCTACATAGACAGAACAAAATCTTTCCATAAATCGCCATGCTTATTCTTCTCAACAGCCGAAAGATAAAGGTGTGGCCATCTCTAAGCAACCTCTTTCCAAGTTGATCTCGCAGTATATACATCTGTCCTACCAACTACACAATCGACAACGTCCTCCTGGAACTAGAGCATATTCCATCCACTCGCTCTTCATCTTGATTGCCTTTCTCAGTAATGTTGACATTTGCAAAGTAGCCACATGGGCATCAGTGGATGCTTTTAGCTATCACCATGCCATTACTCAGGACATCACAGCAGATACTCACTGTCCTATCATCTGCAGTAAATGCCACTCTGAAGCTCTAGCATTCCAATTAGGGGCCCTGCTATCTAATCATCTACAGTGGAGCCCCCTTCGGGACATCACTTGAAGAGGAAGGTTACCCACCTGTGCAGTAACTGAGGTTCTTTAAGGTATGTGTGCTCCACTACCTGTCCTCCTCCCCTCTGCTTTGGAGCTGAAACATAAGCTCTGCAGCAGAGAAGGAATTAAGCAGGTGGCCGGACACACAGTGCTATATATATGCAGGAGGTATGCATGTGCGGTCCGACAGGCACTGCTGGTGAAGATCTCTGATCTGAGGTGCAGGGGATGTTGCTGCACTTACAGTGGAGCACCCATAGGGGGACACATCTTGAAAAACTTCAGTTACTGCTCAAGGTGAGTAACTTTTTCTCTTTTTTTAATCTTCCTCTCTCTTTAGAAGAGAAACACAGGGTGTTGCAGCTGATACACGATGTAATTGAGTAAAAGGAATATTGAAGATTTGCAGAGTTATAAACTCTTTTTGGAGTTGTCAAATTGTATGTCTGTGGTTTTTCCCTGCCACTCTTTTTTTTTTTTTTTTTTTATTTTAAAATTGCACTAGCAATATGGAGTTACAGAACTCCTGTAATACAAGTCATAATTAATTAAAATCCTAACAGTTTTTTTTATTGCACCTGAACTGAAGTGATCATTTTTTTTCGCTGAACTGTAACTTTACATTTTTTTTTCTAATTTACCTAGCAGTCTTGAGACATATTTGATGTTACAAATCAGCTGTGTGCACAATATGGTCTTAATGATTGTTTTTTTCCATAAAGTAAAAGTATTCCTTGTATTTGCCTAATTCAAGCTGTGTATGGATTTTACTGAAAGTTCCTATAATCATCTTTGAGTTGAGATGCAGTTTCAGTTCCAAAGGAGAACTTCTTTTTAGTGACTTAAGAGCAAATGAAATCAGGATCGTTCTAATGAGTTTGGTTGCAAGCTTACATATAGCAATTCCTATTGTGAACATTATATGTATAAATAGATGTACAGTGTTATTTTGCCTAAGAGGAAAGAGAGATTTAACATTATAGAAGGCCTAAAGTTTTAGGAATTCTAAGGGAGAAAAGTTTGCCTCTTGTCTAAGATTTTTATTATAGTTGTCAATGTTATGTGTAGCTACACTATTTAGTGCCATGCATACAATCTGTGGAATTGCACCTATTTCCATCAGGCCTTGATATGAACTGTAACCTCCATAATGGTGCTATATGGAGGTGCTGTCCATCTGGAATTAAAACTTCAGATGGCTGAACATGTTTTTCTGCAAGTAAATGGCCACCTGTTTTTAAAAAGTTGATGTTTAGTTTTAATACTGTTTGTGGTGAGGAGTTTTAATTAAAACAATTTGAATTTTCTAACAATCTCTCACAATGGAGTGAAAAACCCTGACGTGGTGCACTTCTTAAATCCCTAATCCGTTCTCCCTTTTTTTTTTTTTATTATTATTACAGTTTGGGTTGTTAAAAAATTTGTGGTCCACTTTGGAGTTGTAAACTTCATGGCGAAACGTTGTAGTAGTTGGTGGCATGTTCTGGAAAACTTTGTGAAGGAGCGGCAGGAGGCTCTCGCTCCACGGCCAATCAGAGGGCTTGGAAGGGTCATGCTAAAACTTGACAGTAAGGTATTTCAATTTATTTTCTTAAGCCATAATTCTGAATAAAATTTTCTTTATTCTTTGTAAACTGTGCTCTAGAAAGCCATAACTCTAAAATAAGTGTCTGCCACTCATAAGCACATTGTTCTTTATGTAAAAGTATACCTTAGGCCTTGACTATGCTCGCTCTCTTGAAGGCTATAGCACATTTTTAAACCGTGTTATAACAATGTTTAGCTTCCTTGACACTAAGATGTCTACATACTAAAAAAAAAAGTAGCTCTTTTAAAGTTGTTAGCTTAACATGATTGTCTACTTGGATGTTAATGGGGATTTCCTATTTTACAATTCTTTTAACTGATGGTGAAGATGATAAACTTAATATACATAGGTGTTTGGGGAGGGGAATCCTGATCATGTTAAGCTAACCGTTTTTTAAAAAGCAACTCTTTTCATTGTGTAGATAGGACCTAAGCTACTTCAGCTACATTTGTCTTTAGACTCTGCAAAAGCATGATGGTTAAACACAACTGTTTGATAGTGTAGAACAGACCAATGTATTTACTGGGGAAAAAAAACTGTAGGGTGAGGGTGGGTTCTCTTGGGAAGCTACTGAATACGGCATTGCCTATTTTCTTTTGGTTTTCTAAATCAGTGGGTGCTACATTTCAGGAAAGATGTGCACAAATTGGAGAAAGTCCAGAGGTGCGCAAGAAAAATGATTAAAGGTCAAGGAAAGATTGAAAAAATTGGTTTGTTTAGTCTTGAGAAGAGAAGACTGGGGGGGGGGGACATAACCGTTTTCAAGAACATAAAAGGTTGTTGCAAGGAGGAGGGAGAGAAATGTTTGTCCTTAAGCTCTGAGGGTAGGACAAAAAGCAATAGGCTTAAATTGGCGGTTTAGGTTGGACATTAGGAAAAACTTCCTAACTGTCAGGGTGGTTAAGCACTGAAATAAATTGTTTAGAGAGGTTGTGGAATCTGTCATTGGAGATTTTTTTTTTTTTTTCAGAGCAGGTTAGACAAACACCTGTCAGGTGATAATATTTACGCCTGCTATGAATGCAGGGGACTGGACTAGATGACCTCTTGACATCTGCAGTCTTATGATTCTATTGAAACAGTTGATTCTATGGTGGTAGATAGGAATAAATGTTGCAAAAAATGAAAGCATGTGATGTAAGTTAAAGGTGTTAAGTCTATTTCTAACACTTTTGATAGTGTGGTACTGTAATAAGAACAAAAGAATAGCAAATCCTCATTTTATTTAAAAGTAAAAGCAAATTGATTAACCATTTTTTAACTCTGTTTTAGCAGTATGTTTAATTTAATCTTAGAGTTTGGAGGTCATATGGGCCTGCTTTCCCTGGAAGCCATACTCACTACTTTCTGTTAGCAAGAGGAGGGGGCTGAGGTTCAGCACCAGGAAGCAGCAGAGATTCTATGTTTAAAAAAAAAAACAGCAGCAGCCCCCTGTTTTCTTCACATTAAACAGCTGTCTAAAATGTATAGTGGTGATGCTTGCTTCTGACAGTCTGGCTCATGGTGGGGCCAAGAAGAAGTCCCACTACCAAGAGCAAGAGATGCATAGAGCAGAAAGGTGTGCAATTCCACCCAAGAGAATCTGTAAGCCTAGGCAGGGGCCTCGGAAAGTTTTATTCCCCTTCTTAAGTTAAACTAATAAACCACTGAAAGAGGGTGCAGGAGAGAGCTGCTAGTGAGCTCAGCATGTCTTCAGCACTGAGCTCCCTTTTGAAGCATTCCTTTGATCTACCAAGGGGGAGCGAAGAGAAAATAGTCTGTTCAGCTTTCCCCCTACTACAAGTCCTCTTTTTCTCCTACAGGGAAGAGGGGGTATACCCCACCCTAAGAGATCTCCTGTATGAGGAAAGGGAACACAAGCATTGCTGCTGCTTCTCTCTCTTAACAGATCAAAGGGACACTCTGGGGCAGAGATTCTGTTGTTCTATACGGTGCCTAACACAAGAGGTCTTGATCCATTACTTGGGCTCCTAGGCACTATGATAATACAAATAATAAACCAGGGACAACTGGGAGGCTCCGGAGGCAGCAATGAAACCTACTTGTGCATTTCATATAGGTCCTAATTTGATTAGGAAAATGAGATGTTTTTAGCAAAGTTGGCTTTACTGTCCCATAGTGCTACTCCTTCTGGCACTGTCCCTGCTGCTGCTAGCATCTCAAGAAGTTGGGAGCTTCCAGGGGAAAAAAAAGATCCCAGGTGTTCTCCTCTCTCTGCCCCTACAATACTTATACAAATGTGTACATTTTACTCTCTCATTTGTAATTAGTCCAAAATCAGTGGTTTGCTTCACCCTAACACACACTTTAAAAAAAAATCATTGGTTTCAGTTAATGTTTAAAATGGTGATTGTATAGTTTTGTTTTATTTCTGTTGGGGTTAATAAGGATAGCTCTTTAATGGCTCCAGATGGTGTTTCCTGTCCACTGAATGATTCCACACATCATTCCAGACATCTATAAATCAGGATTGTACTGATGTTTCCCTTTCCTAGTGAGTATTTTTATTAACTGCAGCCAAGATTGTTTTTAGTGTATTCAAATACATATAGTCATTTAACTATTCTTGATAGAGTATAGGAGAACTTGATGTGAATGATACAAACTGGTTGGGCAGCCCTTTTACCATACAGAGTCAATTGTTAGTGTACATCAGGCAACATACTAGTCTTAAAGTTCAAACACATCTTAGCAGAAACATTTACCAGATTATGGAAATACGTATAGCCATGATAAAGCTTCTTCAGAGATGTCAGCATGAATATAAAGAGCTTCCTAAAAAAGTACTGAGAAAGTGAATGCAGTTTTATTAAATTTTACTTCCTCAAATATTTGGGTTAAACCAAAAAGGGCTCTCATATATATAATTTTAAACTAACTTGACTGCTTGGGTAGAAGCAACAACATTTTTGGGTACATTTGTCAGTATTACAGTGGGAAATAAGGCATGTGGTATATAATGTCTCCTACTCTGAGTTTTAGTGTAGAATATATACTTAACGCTATTGACATTTTCCTGCCTATCAGTGCTGAAAACTGGAAGTCCCATTTCCAGGCTATTCTATCTATTATTTGTTGTATTACTTTTAGAATGGAGAAGATATAAAAGAGAGAATCTGAATGAGGGAGGTTATGCTAGTATGTTAATTTCCCAGACTAGAACTAGGACAATAATTTTCCTTCTGTCATATTATTATAACCATTAAGGGGGGAAAATAGCTGATCAAACTATCCTATTTACACTGCTTGGTACTTAATGATGAAGGGGTTCTTATACTCGTATGGGAATTTTCTACCCAGTTTCCATGAAAGTAAGAGAAGGCAAGATATTTTTTGTTAAATCTATAAGACCCCTTACCTTATTTTTCACTTATACAATATCCCATTTCCTGGGAAGAAAGAGTGGAAACAAATCAGAAGCTGGGGGCTGAGACTTTTTTGAAGCTCTTTTGCACGTTCCCATTTCCATGCCTTGTTTCCATAGGAACAGGTGTACCTAAGCCACACAAGTATATGGGATAACTGCATACCTTCTGTTGTGTATTGTTTATTTGAAATCTTTGAATGCCTATGTTTAATTGTAAGCCTGTTGCTGGCTTAATCATGTTTTAATTTACGTTCTGAAATTTTGGTTTTATTTGAAACATTTTCTCTTAGGTCTTGTTTACATTAGGAATGTGTCCCAATTCCATCTATGGGTGGACAGCCACTGGTGCAAACCCTAGCTGTAGACAAGAAAAACCACAATTTGTTCTGATGGGGTGTTGGAATTATTAATATGGGAACCACTATTCTTTTATTAAATCCAAAGGCCAAATGGTACTTACACAGTTGCTCTAAACATGCCTCAAAAGCCTAACCGATAAGCAATTACTACATCCAAACAGTAACAAAACATTAATAAGCATTTGATCAAGATATTTATAAATGGATTAAACCCAGTGTTGCTTAGACTCCTATTGGTAGGCTCCAGCTTGGTCAGGCATGTATTAGCAATGGACCCTTTAAGAGTTTGTAAAAGTAAACAAGTGATGTCATTGCCAATTACTAGCTTCAGTTAAAAACCAAGTTGAGACAATTCACTCTTATTTCCAGTCTTAATCCAGATAAGAGTTACAACCACCTTTCTTCCAAAGGCATTTCCTCCCCTCCTTCTTGCTGTCCAACAGTTTTCCCATTGCACCTGGGTTCACGTAGGCTTTAACACTGGTGTGTGGGTTGGGGAAGGGCTATGTTGGCTCATTTTAAGACCGACATCCTCCCTACTTTATTCCTTCTGGCCGTATTGCTTATTATTTTCAAGGTCTTCCTTCTTAAGAGTCAGGGCCTTTCTTTACAACACGTATATATTTTCTTAAGCAAATTTAAGATAATTTTAATTCTTTTATTTTATACTTATCCTACATGGGGCTTATCCTGGTTTCAAGCTTCACTGGTGCAAGCTGCCACTTTCATTGTCCACACTTGGGGTTTGCGTTGATGTATTTGCAACTTGTCACCAATAGCTGAAATTGAAGTAAAATCTCATTGAAGAGTAGGCCTTAGAATGGGTCTCTCTGAGTAGTTTGGGTGAGAATTAGAGAGCGAGTAATATTTCTCTCAGTACAAAAGTAGATGGTTGCTTGTCAGAGAAGGGCTTAGCACCTGAACTTCTTATATGATCTGACTGCAGACAAGCACGTGTAAATAAGTGTTGGTTCCATGACCTCTTGGTCTGTACATCATGCATATAAATATATGCATGTATTTTATATTCCTTTTCATACTGATTCTCATTGGGTGTGAATGCAGTAATACTAATAGGATAATAAAATTCATGTGTATCACAATAGGTACCATAAAATACACTTTGCATATATTTGAAACTATATCTTTGGTCAAAGTTGGAACCTCATTGCAATAAACTAGTGGATGAGATGCTGATTCTGGATATCACAATAATATCACGCTGTTTTTAGAAAAGAACTTTCACAAGTGTTGCACTGATTTGTAAAATTTTGGCTTGCTACTGTTAATCTGTAACTATTCATTTATAGCTGATTTATAGCTGGCTTATTGCTGTTAAGTTATGCTAGAAAAATGATGGTGAAGCTTATATTCATTCACTGTAAAATATTACGCATATTTAGGCGTGAAAGGATTAGATTATTGGAAAATGTCGGTAAATATTGATTTCACCATATATAAGCCAACAAATATTTCCATAGATAATAGTCAAAATTTCCGGTTAGGCAGGGTAAGAAAAATGTTGCTTGAACTTATTAGTTATTGATTTAAGGATATTTACTTTGTATATTGTGACATGTAATGTTGACAGTTTGCGTTTTAATGGTTATAAAGCTTTAGCTTTTTGAATCTCAATGTCTGCTGTCATTAAATATTTACTGTTTTACCTCCCCATAGTTTCCCACAACTATGAAATTGTAAAAAGATAAAAATAGGAAAAAAGCTTTAAAATATTGATATCTGTTGAAATTTATATATATATAAAAAATTGAATTTTTGCCATGCCTATGCATTTTCCTGGTAAATCCTAGATTATTGTATTATAGATTTCACTATTTATTTCCTACTGTAGTTTACCTTTGGGTCTGGAATTATTTAATTTTCATTCTGTGGATGACTGTCTGCCTTCATTTCTATTCACACTATTACTGCATTCTTCAATAATTTTCCACTGTCGTCTTGTCTTTTTTTCTCTCCTCTGTCTCCCTTCCCTCTCCTCCCCCACAAGCTGTGGCACTGGCTTAATAAGAAGGTAAATAAAGAGACTGTGATTCCAACTAAAGGATTGTTTCCTTTTTGCAGCATGAATGCTTTTAATATGTCTTGCTCTTTAGTTCTCTCTCCCAATTGTCGTCTCTCCCCCCCCACCCCACCCCCCGTCTAAGCTACTGGAGGTCATATAACACCATCTGATCTATATATTTTTTTTAAATAAAATGAATGCATTTAGTTAAATGTCTTGTACAGCAGGATAGTGCATTAGCCTTTCTCCTTTGTGGACTTGGGTTCAAATAATTTTAAGATTTAAGAAAAATTTGATCTCTGACTAACAAAGCCAATACATAATTTGACTTGGTAGGAATTTTCTGTTCAGAGGAATTTAAGGGTGTTGAAGGTCAGGACTAGGGTAAGTTTACAAAGATGTGAGTGGAAGCTTCTGTAGCTCTTGTATTATGAGTGGCTCTAGTCAGTGCTATTAGGCTTTTGCCTTCAAAAGCACCAACTTAATCCACACATTCTTTTTCTTAAGGGAAATATAAAACACCAAATTACTCCATATTGAATCATTACTAAAGGAGATGAGGAGCACCCAAAGCAGCAACAGGTGGAATGTCCAAAACTGCTACTGTAGTTTTAAAAGAAAATAATTTCCCCTCTATGAAGTTCATAGAAAAAAAATAGCCATGTAATGCATATGACACACAATTTCATCCTTAACTCACCCTGTGTTGCTGAGGTACTTCAACTCATTTACTTCAGTTCTAAACAGGATTAAGCTACTACACTCCTACAAATTGCAACGTTCATTGTCTATACTAGGAATTTACATTAGTGCATCCACAGTGGCTGGAATCTGGGCGAATCCCCATTTTAGACAAAGCCTTAGACTCTGGTAGAGCATACCAACTCCACAGGAGCAGTAAGAGAGCTGGAGAGGGCTGCCAGTGGAACTTGTATGAAAATCAAGGTGGGAGATCTTGCATCAAAAGTTTTAAAATACAAATCTCAAACATAAAATTCCCCAACAGAAAAGCATTAAGATAGACTAATGGTTGTAGATACATGTTGATTTAAATATTCAAACACAGTGTATGAAGGGCAGTAAGTTAAAAGGTTGTATCTTAAAAAAAAAAAAAAAAAAAAATAAAACCATAATAACTGGAAATCAGCTAAACTTCTAGCACCAACCTCTATCCTCATTTATCTCAGTACTGGTGAGAGAGTCCAACTAGCTGTCACTGCATAGAAACTGTGTTTACTGTTGCCTGTACAAAGTATAGTAGTATAGTCTCTTTGATCAGTCACATAACCTACAGCTGCCCTTGTAGACTATAGTAGGTACCTGGAATATGATGGCTCTGGCCCGTGATGGGGGTGGGGGGGTGGGGGGGGGAAGAGGGGTGAAAGGGATAGAGTTGTATATCCAGTCCAAAGTGGAGCTGTGGATGGAGGAGGAGATATAAAGGTATTTTTTGAACAATTTGGGTAACAAACAGTAAAATTGAGATTATAGTTGGGGGGTCTTCTATGGAAAATATGTGGAGAATAATGCATGAGATGTTGTGCTCATTTTTAGCCTGAAACATGAGGACTGTAGAGTTTCATCTCCAGCACCCAATTAGTGAATGACTTCCCTATGCAGAGGTTTCCTGGAGTGTGTGTGTGAGGTGGGGGGGGGCAAGGAAGCTTTGTGTGGCTTGTTATTGAAAGATGGATGGGGGAGAGCAGTTTGACCATCTTCTGACCTTTTGACATTTAGACTGTTTTAACTTCATCCTCCATCTCCTGATGTTGAAAGGATTGTGTCTGTACTACAATGTGCAAGTGTTTTTAAATTATAAATATGTATGTGCAACCATAAGTTGTCTTGAAGAATTTTTTTGTTTGGGAATGATGTTACATGTCTGCAATATACCCATACACTGCACTGAGCTAGTAAGGAATTTTGGTCTTAACTGTACATTTTCTTGATTCTGTGGTTTTAGACTCTTAATGTTTGAACATATGTTTTATGTGGGTAGGTTTACCCTACTTTTGCCACTAACATGGCTATTAAAATACTTTTTAAAAAAACAATAAAATATAATTAAAAAAAATGTAGACCCATCATGTGCAGACTAACTTTTAAAAAAATTGAGGTTTTTTTATTTACTTGAAAAAAGTACTTGAAACTACTCACCTTTCATTTCTTGCACCTACATAGATATTTTGAAAATGTATATCAAAATATTTTTATTTTGTAATATGTTAAGACTCCTGTGTATGCTCAGCAAATCATACATTTGTACAACTTAACTATAAAATCCAAAACCAGACTGTAAATTCTGACAGGCTCTTAACTTTATCAAATCTACAATTCATAAAATGCTAAGAAAGGGGGAAGATTAAAGCACAAAAGATTGGACTGCAGTTGTAAAGGCTGCTTTCCTTTTATAACTTTTACCTTTTTCTTCTTCCTCTCAAGGAAAGTACTTAAGAGAATACTAAAATAGGCTTCTCTCTGTGCAATGTGAAACTAAAAATATGACCCATGGAGGCAGGGCAGGGTTTGAAATGGTTATTGGTAACTCTGGTTATTAGGACAGGAGGATAAGAGCAAAGTTTTTACATAAGAGCTCTCTGTCAGGGACTGTTTTTAAACTGGGACTTTAGTGAGTAAGAATCACACAACTTAATATTACTTACTGAGCCCAAGGCATAGAAGAGATTCCAGTGGGTTAGCAAGACTTGCTCTGTATGGCATTGTTTACAGCGTGAATCTTAAAAAAAAAATACCTTTCATTTTTGCTAAAACCAGTGTCTCTGCGCCAGTCATAGCAACCTTGGGAGCCTACCTAATGTAGACCGCTCTCCAGCTTGTTTAACCTGGCTACTCATCTGCACTTTTTCACCATGAACCTGACACATCTGAGTAACTGACTTCACTGGAGCTAAATGATCCCTTTTAACAGTCCTAAAATAAATGAAGATGAAATCCTTACCAGAGAATATCAGAGTTGATTTATTACTTTATTTTTTTGGGGGGGGGGAATTAAAATAGATACTGAGACATCTGTGACTGCATAAAAGAAGTAAGACACTCATACTGTTTGTATTTTACCACAGACAAATATATATTCAGAGATTTGTCAATATATACACTTTGCATGTATAATATATAGTTTAGTATGTAAAAATATATTGGAAAATGAGCACTCAGATACACGTAGGTATTCTTTGAAGATGAGTTGACTTGATTTAAATGTTTATTTGTGAATAATGTACAGTGCAGTATAAAATATAGAGGGCATAATCACTCTCCCAATTCCAATAAATCTAGATAGGAGTCGCTTTGAAAAGACCTAGTTCCTAGTACAAACCGTAGATTTAAAAAGCCACATTCATTTAAAATGTTCATCCCAGTTACTTCTTCCAAATAAATTTCACCCAGTGAACTCATGAATGTGTGTACTTTGACCCTGCTTTAGTTTTGAGGCATAATTTCAATTGTTTGTAATTTGCTTTATTTTTGAAATGTAAAGATAAGTTTTTATACCCTTTCTTTCAAAACCCTGACATTTTAAGATAGTTTTCATTTTCTGCATATCAGAAATCCATATTTTTAATTTTTTTTAAATGAGTGAATGACCTTCTGTAGCTTAGGAGCCTGGTTTCTTTCTACTCCTTGACTGCCTTAGATGTCATGGCAACATTTGCTTGTAGCTATTGACTAACAATTAAATTAGAAGCTAAAACTTTAAAATAGTGGAATAGCTGCTGACTAATGTTCAGAAAGTGTGTGTGTGTGTGTGTGTGTGTGTGTGTGTGTGTGTGTGTGTTCTGTGCATGCATGTATTTAGCGGTAGGGCATAGAAAGGAAAGTCTATAAGAATGACCGAGAGAAATATGGACCAGATTCAGTGGTAAGTTTCAACTGGTGTAATTTATACTTATTTTTCCCACTGCCTCAGCATGTAAATTGAACCAACAGTGAGACTGAGTTTTTGTGTTTGTTTTGTTTTTTAAATGGGAGATTAGAGTCAAGCATGTATGGGAGCTGCTGGATGCTCAGCATTTTTGAAAAACAGGCCACTTTTATTAGGTGACTAAATATGTATTTAGCAGCCATGTTTTCCATCCAGGTTTTGAAAGTCTTTGACTCTCTTAATCTCTCACTTATTTACAGTGAAGAAACCAACAGCCCCTTTTTCATTATTTGAATTTGGCCTACTGACAATAAACTAGTCTAAGCTAGTGTTGAGCAGCCAGATGAAGGGGGTACAGCAAGAGTTAAGAGGAGGCTGTAAGTGAATTAATAATATGGAGAGCATGCTTTCAATTATACCTTATTACACCCTTCTGTTCTTCCCTTTTCAGCTTTCCCTGATGGCCTAACTGCAAGTAGCATAATATTAGATGCTTAGAACTTGTCTACAGTAAGGACACTGATGGTACTATCGGTTCAAGGGCTCCAGTGGGAGACCTACCTTCTAAGACTCTAGAGGCTTCCAGATCAAACCAACAGTTTACACAGTTGTAAAACAACAAAAGCCTCTAGATTTGTCTATGATGAGACACTTGTTGCTATCAGTGGTGCTGTTGGATCAGAGCTGGCATTGGTGGAAATCTCTCATACAGTTCCCTAATGTAGATTATGGCCATAAATTCAGTAGCCAGTGGGACAGATTCAAAGGTGATATGTAAGCTTATGTGTTAAGTGGATGTATATTTTTCACAAACTGAATCTAAGTTTAGCGTACTAGTGGAGGATAATTGAAATAAGAGAGAAATTAGTTTAGACTTTCTTAGATTCACTTAAACTTGTCTCTGAATTTGGACCTGTGAGTAGAAGCCACAGCTTTTTTTAAACTGAGAAAGAAATAGCAAGGAAAGTTACATAAGTTAAAGTGAACATTTAACTTATTTATAACACAGTATTTTTAAGGTACTGTATCCTTTTTATTCTTAGAGTGCTTCCTCGTGTCCATTCCATATTAGGTGTGTGTGCTTGCCACATGCACCGGTGCTGGAAGTTTTTCCCTCAGCAGTATC